CAGACTAACCAAACTGTTATCACTGCCCTTCACAGTAAAGCACTCCCTGGATTGGTGGAAAGACCCATCCAATATCTGAGCAGGCATTCCATTCATGCAACCGCCACTGATGCTGACTTTAATAATGGATGCCTTTCACCTCAAGTAGGATGGATGCCTCCCTAATAGGCTGGGGAGCTCACCTATACAACCACAAGGTTCAGTGCACAAGTGGCTTTCACAGAAGTGATCCTCCATATCAATGTTTGGAGCTAAGAGCTGTCAGGAATGCCTGTGCAATTAGTTCATAAGTGTTCACTCAGGTCCTGCAGAATGCAAAATAGGAGGCAGTTACTCACCTTGTGTAGTAATGATGGTTCTTTAAGATGTGTGTCCCTATGGGTGCTCTCTCCCCTCTACTTCAGAGTTCTACACAAGGGGTCTGCAGTAGAGAAGGAACTGAGGAGGGTTCACCTGCGCAGTGCTAGATAGCCTCAAGGCAGACCATGAGGGAGGGAGTGCGCATGTGCTGGCTCAATGGACACTGCTACCAAAAATCTCTGATTAGAGGCGCAAGAGCGCAGATACACCTACAGTGGAGCACCCACAGGGGGACACATCTTGAATTACCATCATCACTGCACAAGGTGAGTAACTGCCTCATATTTTGCATTCTGCAGGACCTGAGTGAACACTCATGAACTAATGCTACATATACTTAGTGAGGATGTGTCTTGCAGTTCCTTATTCTGCACTGCCTTGAATCTTTGGACCTAGTGGTCAGCCACAGGTCTTCATGCTGTCTCTTTCCTTCTGGGAGTGCTGGCCTCTCTGAAACTGTTGAGGAACAGTTGAATGCAAACAGGTGTTGTTTGATATTTGGCTGACCCAACCAAAGTAGATTTATCATATCCCTACTGTCCAACATTATCTTACTAAGAAACATTTGGTTTGGTCTGCCAACTTGTGGCCAGAACTGAGAGCAGACTTCACCAAATAGTGTAGACCCCATCTGGTCGCTGGAATCCCTGAGTATGCTTCTTGCACATTATCATTGCTGGAACTCATACCATAGTATATTGCTAGTATGTTGGCAGCCATTTTACTAGCTGAACCAAACCATTTAGCTTAACGGGACTAAATCGGGCGGACCGGATGATCTTCATCCGAGAATATTAAAGGAACTGGTGCGAGAAATTGCAAGCCCGTTATCGATAATTTTTAATGAATCTGTAAACTCGGGGGTGGTACCGTTGGACTGGAGAATAGCTAATGTGGTTCCTATTTTCAAGAAGAGGAAAAAAAGTGACCCGGGTAACTACAGGCCTGTTAGTTTAACATCTGTAATATGCAAGGTCTTGGAAAAAATTTTGAAGGAGAAAGTAGTTAAGGACCTTGAGGTCAATGGCAATTGGGACAAATTACAACATGGTTTTACGAAAGGCAGATCGTGCCAAACCAACCTGATCTTCTTCTTTGAGAAAGTAACAGATTTTTTAGATAAAGGAAATGCGGTGGATCTAATATACCTCGATTTCAGTAAAGCGTTTGATATGGTACCGCATGAGGAATTATTGGTTAAATTGGAAAAGATGGGGATCGATATGAAAATCCAGAGGTGGATAAAGAACTGGTTAAAGGGGAGACTGCAGCGGGTCGTACTGAAAGGTGAACTGTCAGGTTGGAGGGAGGTTACCAGTGGAGTTCCTCAAGGTTCGGTTTTGGGTCCGATTTTATTTAATCTATTTATTACTGACCTCGGAACCGAATATAGAAGTGGGCTGATAAAGTTTGCGGATGACACAAAGTTGGGAGGTATTGCCAATTCGGAGAAGGATCGGGATGTCCTGCAGGGAGACTTGGATGACCTTGTAAACTGGAGTAATAGTAATAGGATGAAATTTAATAGTGAGAAGTGTAAGGTGATGCATTTAGGGATGACTAACAAGAATTTTAGTTATAAGCTGGGGACGCATCGGTTGGAAGTAACGGAAGAGGAGAAGGACCTCGGAGTCCTGGTTGATCGCAGGATGACTATGAGTCGGCAATGTGACGTGGCCGTAAAAAAAGCTAATGCGGTCTTAGGATGAATTAGGCGAGGTATTTCTAGTAGGGATAAGGAGGTGCTGCTTCCGTTATACAAGGCACTGGTGAGATCTCGTTTGGAGTACTGTGTGCAGTTCCGGTCTCCCATGTTTAAAAAGGATGAACTCAAACTGGAACGGGTACAGAGAAGGGCCACTAGGATGATCCGAGGAATGGAAAAACTGTCGTATGAAAGGAGACTCGAGGAGCTCGGTTTGTTTACCCTAACCAAAAGGAGGCTGAGGGGGGATATGATTGCTCTCTTTAAATATATCAGAGGAATAAATACCAGGGAGGGAGAGGAATTATTTCAGCTTAGTACTAATGTGGACACGAGAACAAATGGATATAAACTGGCCGTCGGGAAGTTTAGACTTGAAATTAGACGACGGTTTCTAACCGTCAGAAGGGTGAAGTTCTGGAACAACCTTCCGAGGGAAACGGTGGGGGCGAAAGACCTCTCTGGCTTTAAGATTAAGCTTGATAAGTTTATGGAGGGGATGGTTTGATGGGATAACGTGATTTTAGTCAATAAGTCAATAACATTCCATCGCTGGTAATTAGTATCAATGGTCAATGTGGGTCTGGCTGGAGAATCTTGCCCGCATGCTCGGTGTTCTGCTGATCACCGTATTTGGGGTCGGGAAGGAATTTTCCTCCAGGGTAGAGGCCCTGGAGGTTTTTCGCGTTCCTCCGCAGCATGGGGCAGGGGTCGCTTGCTGGAGGATTCTCTGCGACTTGAAGTCTTTAAATCATGATTTGGGGACTTCAACAGCTGAGTCAAGGGAGAGAATTATTCCAGGAGTGGGTGGGTCAGCCTTTGTGGCCTGCATCATGCGGGAGGTCAGACTAGATGATCATAATGGTCCCTTCTGACCTTAAAGTCTATGAGTCTATTAGTAGCTGTAGTGAGCTGATTCAGATAAATGTTGCTCTTTCTATTTTACATTTTTATCCCCTTCTGGGAGTTTTATGCAGGAGCCAGTCCCACCCTTTCACCAGGGCTCAAGCTGGGGGTTGGGAAGTTGGTGGTACTCTCTTAATCGCTACTCTCTTGGTATACCAAGGTGAGATGTTACTTTCAGGAGATTCTGCAGATGCTCAAAACTTGATTGCCTCAGAGTGTGATTTTCATACACCTTTGGGCAGGGCTGGGTTAAGGCACAGGCACAAATAGGAACCTACTCTCTGGCTCTCAGGGTCCTATGTTGACATCAGAATCTCAACCTTCATTAAAACATATTGGTTCTAGTCTGCATGGTTTTGAAAATATTCAACTGAGCATAACTGATTTTGTGATGTCTGCATGAGTCTGCAGCAAGAGCCATTAGAGGCAGGGAAGCATCCTCCTGACTCCACCATTAGAGGTTGGAGGTTGAGGGGGGAGAAAGCGGTGGCTATCTCCCAAATGCCATCCATTCTCTGTCTTCTGTAGAGTTCTGTGATACTCTTTCGGTTATTTTACCTGCTTTGATCACAAGTGAAATAGTTGGGCATCTGAGCCAACCCCATTTAGATTCACAAGGTATTCACCCCACTTAGAAATATTGTTCCAAGCTAAATGCAGAACCAGGCAGGCATCTTGGCATCGGTTACACTATTTTTATGGTTTTCCTCATGATCTTTACTTTAGTTTTCCACATGAAAGTTCAGAGTGTGAAGCATATAAAATAACCCCTCCCTCCCCCCCAAAAAAGTGCTGTGTCTATGACACAACCCAATTTGAGCCCTACTTCTCATCAATTGTTTTCTGCCAGCTGGCCAGCTGATACAGTGCATTTAACTATCTGGTAATATTCCCCCCATCCAGTTGCTGGAATTGCTGTCTATACCTCCTTCCCATTATTGCAACCCAGATTGAAACAGGAACTAAACAGCTAAAGGCTGCAGCTCCAAAAGAAAGACTCTTCCCACTTATGTAAACAGAGTTGTGCTTAGCTGCTTGTCCTTTCAAGGAAGGTGCAGCATATGCTTACACACCTTTCCTCAAAGTCACATTGGCCCAGCTCTGCCCAGGTTGGACTGCCTAGCTTTTGGAGAGCTGCCAATTTTGTGAAGCCCTTCCACTCAGTGCAGCCATAGCTCCAGGGCCTTCACTGGTTCCAATGCCAATATCTCTTGGGAAAGGAGGTGGTCTGTCAAGCAGGTAGGTCATTCACTGATCCTTAGGCTGTAAATATATAAACAGTATCTCATTCTAGTAGCTAGCAGTGCTACAGACACAGAACAGTCAAAAGAGGATGATTTGATGCTCCAAGTGAGAAACCCAGCTCCCCTCTGCTCTTTTTACAATGATTCTTTAAGCAGAGCTGACACTGGCCACTAACACTCTGCAAAGTCTCCTCATGGATTTGAGAACCATTAGTCAGACACATGCTGGAGCTGTGTTGTCAGGGGCCAGAATGAAAATTGGAAAGACAAGTGGCTCCTGCAAAGACAGAGCCACAGATTTGGAGTCCTGAAGGCCCTACCACCTTTGCATGGAAGAGAAACAGAAGAAGTTATTGCAGAAGCTTACATGGCTTTGCCCTTGTTGTTTCTGGGGGAGAACTTGGCAGAGTTTAGTTGTCATAGCCACCTCAGCCACAGAGCATAAACTCCAAGTGGGTTAGGGAGGAAGAGCACAATATGATGTGTAGAGAGCTGGTCAGAAAGTTTGATTGATTTGTCAAGTATGAAATGTTTTCCAGAAACTTGTGATTTTGTTTGACTTGCATCTTGACCCATCCATGCATCTTAACCCAAATCAATTCACTATTGGAAGCCTTTTTGTCACCTCTCTGCAATTTAAAGTGTTCCACTAAACAGGACTGGTTAATCACTAGAGGATTTGAATAGAATTTGTACACAATTAATGGAATACTGTAAATGCTTTAGCTAACCTGATGTCCTTCATGGGAATGTGTCAGTGATTGTGTTTTCATGTGTCTTTTCAGATATGAGATGTGCACCTGCACCGGAGATTTCTGATGGTAAGATTCTAGGTGCTAAACAGCGAAACTATTTCCCTGGCGAGAGGGTGCGTTATCGATGTACACAAGGTCTGAGCCTTATTGGGTCTCCAACGGTAACATGTAAGCAAGGGAAGTGGTCCCAACCACCAGAATGCAGAGGTATTTTACTTTCCTATTTCTAAAATAGCCTAATAGTGATGATATTATTAGAAACAAAAACTTCACTCTCATTCAGAAGAGTTTGCTTCCCTGTATCTCTTCTTTTAATGTACAAGTTTATGCTTACTTGAAAGCCAGAAAGCAAATCTATTTCTAGTCTGTGATGTTCTTGGCAATGGTCATGTGGAGCATTAATGAGAAAATTCTCACATTGGGCCAGACCCTACGCTCCTTATTCAAGCAAACCGTCAGTGGATTTCAATGGGAGTTTGGCCTGAGTAACTTCTGAGTAAAGGTTGAGGGCCAAATTTTGCCACTCCTGCTCATGTTGAGTAGTTAACATTGACTTCAGTGTACCTAGTGTAACCCACACACCTCCTGGCTGTGGTGCTCTGTCCCCTCTAATAGCGCTGAGATCACTTAGGGTATGTCTACACTACGAGAGTAGTTCGATTTTACTTAAATCGAATATGTGGAATCGATATTGCAAAGTCGAACGTGTGTGTCCACACTAAGGACAGTAATTCGACTTTGTGAGTCCACACTAACGGGGAAACTGTCGACATTGGAAGCGGTGCACTGTGGGCAGCTATCCCACAGTTCCCGCAGTCCCCGCTGCCCATTGGAATTCTGGGTCGAGCCGCCAATGCCTTCTGGGTAAAAAAATGTGTCGAGGGTGCTTTTGGGTAACTGTCGTCATCCGTCCGTCACTCCCGCCCTCCCTCCCTGAAAGCGCCGGCGGGAAATCAGTTCGCGCACTTTTCTGGTCAGTGACAGCACGGACACCACAGCACTGTGACCATGGAGCCCGCTGCGACCATCGCTGCAGTTGTGGCCTTTGTCAACACCTCGCAGCTTATCATCCACCTTTCCCAGAGGCAGATGCAGAGAAATCAGGCGAGGAGGCTACTGCACCGCGGTGAGGACCTGAAGTCTGAGAGTAGCACAGACCTGTCAGAAAGCACGGGACCCAGCGCAGAGGACATCACGGTGACAATGGGTCATGTGGATGTTGTGGAACGGCGATTCTGGGCCCGGGAAACAAGCACGGACTGGTGGGACCACATAGTGCTGCAGGTCTGGGAGGAATCCCAGTGGCTGCGAAACTTTCGCATGCGGAAGGGGACTTTCATGGAACTTTGTGAGTTGCTGTCCCCTGCCCGGAAGCGCAATGACACCCGGATGCGAGCAGCCCTGACTGTCCAGAAGCGAGTAGCCATAGCCCTCTGGAAGCTTGCAACGCCAGACAGCTACCGGTGAGTCGCGAACCACTTTGGCGTGGGCAAATCTACCGTGGGGGTTGTTGTGATGCAAGTAGCCAACGCAATCGTTGAGGTACTGCTCTCAAAGGTAGTGACCCTGGGAAACGCGCAGGTCATCATAGATGGCTTCGCCGCCATGGGATTCCCAAACTGCGGTGGGGCTATAGATGGAACTCACATCCCTATCCTGGGACTGGACCACCAGGCCAGCCAGTACATCAACCGAAAGGGCTACTTTTCAATGGTGCTGCAAGCACTGGTGGACCATAGGGGACGTTTTACAAACATCAACGTCGGATGGCCGGGCAAGGTTCATGACGCTCGCGTTTTCAGGAACTCAGGTCTGTTTAGACGGCTGCAGGAAGGTATTTACTTCCCGGACCACAAAATAACTCTTGGGGATGTTGAGATGCCTATAGTCATCCTCGGGGACCCAGCCTACCCGCTAATGCCCTGGCTCATGTAGCCCTATACTGGCGCCCTGGACACTGAAAAAGAACTCTTCAACTACCGGCTGAGCAAGTGCAGAATGGTGGTGGAGTGTGCTTTTGGCCGTCTCAAGGGGAGATGGAGAAGCTTACTGACTCGCTGTGATCTCAGCGAAACCAATATCCCCATTGTTATTGCAGCTTGCTGTGTGCTCCACAATCTCTGTGAGAGCAAGGGGGAGACCTTTATGGCGGGGTGGGAGGTTGAGGCAAATAGCCTGGCTGCTGATTACGCCCAGCTAGACAGCCGTGCGATTAGAAGCTGTGCATCCGGGAGGCTTTGAAAGCTAGGTTCCTGAGTGAGCAGGGTAACTTGTGACTTTTCAGTTTGTGTACAGAGAAGCTGAACCTGCCCCCGTTTCTTTACCTACTAAATGTTCAGTATCCTCTCCAGTTACATACCCCGTTCCCCCCCTTCCAACACACGTTTAAAAATAAAATCACTTCAATTTTGTTAATGAACACCGTTTTCTTTATTACTGTTTTCGTGGGAAAGTGTTGAACCTGGGATGCAGACTGTGGTGGGGAGCGGGTGTAGTGTAGTGATGCAAATGATGCTTCTAAACTCCAGGAATGACAGGCTCCGCAGTGGTGGACTGGTGGTTTCAACGGAGCCTGCCACCCCTCCTGTTCGGGACTCTGTGTGTGGGGGTGCTATGTGACTTTGCGGCAGGGGGAGGACGGTTACAGATCCCCTGTTGCGTGGCTCTGTGATCCAGGATAAGGACCGCTGCATAAGATCTGTAACTGCCCTCCCCCACCACAAAGTCACAGAGCACCCCCCACCCCCCACAGAACACTAAAACCACCTCCCAGACTGACCAGGGTAACTAGTGACTGCAATGTGTGTGTGCCCTGCTGCTGAACCTGGCCCCGCCTCTGTACCCTGGTAAAGGTGACTGTCCTGTCCAATTACCAACCCCCTTCCCCCCCTTCAGACAGACTCTCCTCTAAAAGAACATGATGGAAACAGTAATTAACGGAAACATATTTTTTATTAGCAACTACACATGAAACTGGGGGGTGAAACTTGGACGGGAGCTTGGGTGAGGCAGGAAGGAAAGGACTTGTCAAATTTTGGGGAACGAGAGCCTTCTAGTACTAGAGCAGTCTGCAGGGGTGGAGTGAGAGTTTTCATGGACTCTGCTGCCCCTCCTTCTTTGGACTTTGGGTGAGGGGGGTATGGGACTTGGTGGCGGGGGAGGGCGGTTACAGATAGACTGCAGCGGGGCTCTGTCCTCCTGCCTCCGGTCCTGCAGAACATCCACAAGGCGCCGGAGCGTGTCCGTTTGCTCCCTCATTAGTCCAAGCAGCGTTTGAGTCGCCTGCTGGTCTTCCTGCCGCCACCTCTTCTCCCGTTCCATGTGTGATCGGTGCATTTGGGACAAGTTCTCCCTCCACTGTGTCTGCTGGGCTGCCTGGGCTTGGGAGCAGCCCATAAGTTCCGAGAACATGTCCTCCCGTGTCCTCTTCTTCCTACGCCTAATCTGCGCTAGCCTCTGGGAGTGTGATGCCAGGCTAGGTTGTGAGACAGTCGCAGCTGTGGGAATGGGAAAAAGGGAGTGAATTCCTCAGAAAGATAAATTTCGTTGTGAACAAAGAACATAGTCTTTCTCTGTGAACAAGACCATGCACAGCACCTATCACATGCGCACTCAGGACAAGGTCGAATTTTCGGCCCTCGCATTCAGTGCCTGGGGTCTTGCAGTGCAGATCAGAGAAGTGGGGCAGGACACCGGAATTTGTGTAGCAGGCCGACATGGTAAGCCGTAGACTTGTGGCTGCTTAAAACTTTAATAGTAGCACTGGCCTCCTTTCACATTGAAAGCAATGCCAGTCCCTGCTGCCAGCAATCCGGCAAGCATGAACTCTGCCCCGTCCCACCCCCTCGCGGCTGTCCCAGGGAAAGATCCCTGTATGCTGCCCCTCTCCCGCCTCCACCGCGTGGCTGTAAACCGCCGGTTACATTTCTGTAAAGGAACAGGCAAGCAGTCCCAATACTAACATTCCCCTACCTAATTCAAAGCAGGTCATCATGAGCGACATCACTCTGATGAGGATTTCAGAGACGGAAAAAGAAAGGATGCTTCGGGAAAGCCTGCAAAAACCAGGGCCGTATGCCGCCATGCTCTGCAGGGCAATGATCCCGGAGTACTTGCTTGTCTCCTGGCGCGGAAATGTTTCCTACTACGGAGGACCCAATAAGGCCGCTCTCCCCAGGAACCTGATGCAAAGGCTTTCCAATTACCTCCAGGAGAGCTTCGTGGAGATGTCCATGGAGGATTTCAGCTCTATCCCCGGACATATAGACCGGATTTTACTGTAGCTGCACTGGCAGGGACTAAACGGTAGAGCGGCTTGGGCAGAACAATCATGCTAAACCGGACATTGTTAGATTTTTTTCAGTAGTTGCACTGCCAGGGAGTGAACAGTTAAGCGCCTAGGGCAAAGTAATCATGAAAAACCCATTGTTAATATTCCTGTTCTGTTAAAAATAAATGTTTACATGTTTACAACACTTACTGGCTGATCCTTCCCCTGATTCTGTGTCCGGGTTAACGGCTGGGGACGGTTGGTAGGGGATCTCTGTAAGGGTGATGAAGAGATCCTGGCTGTCGGGGAAATCAGCGTTGTAAGCGCTGTCGACTGCCTCGTCCTCCTCATCTCCTTCCTCATCTTCCCCGTCCGCTAACATGTCCGAGGAACCGGCCGTCGACAATATCCCATCCTCAGAGTCCACGGTCAGTGGTGGGGTAGTGGTGGCGGCCGCATCTAGGATGGAATGCAGTGCCTCGTAGAAACGGGATGTCTGGGGCTGGGATCCGGAGCGTCCGTTTGCCTCTTTTGTCTTCTGGTAGCCTTGTCTCAGCTACTTGATTTTCATGCGGCACTGCGTTGCATCCCGGCTGTATCCTCTCTCTGCCATGGCTTTAGAGATCTTCTCATAGATCTTTGCATTCCGTCTTTTGGAGCGCAGCTTGGAAAGCACGGACTCATCGCCCCACACAGCGATCAGATCCAAGACTTCCCGATCAGTCCATGCTGGGGCCCTCTTTCTATTCTGAGATGGCACGGCCATCTCTCCTGGAGAGCTCTGCATCGTTGCCAGTGCTGCTGAGCTCGCCACGATGTCCAAACAGGAAATGAGATTCAAACTGCCCAGACAGGAAAAGCAATTCAAATTTTCCCGGGGCTTTTCCTGTGTGGCTGGTCAGAGCATCCGAGCTCGGACTGCTGTCCAGAGCGTCAACAGAGTGGTGCACTGTGGGATAGCTCCGGGAGCTATTAGCGTTGATTTCCATCCACACCTAGCCTAATTCGACATGGCCATGTCGAATTTAGCGCTACTCCCCTCGTTGGGGAGGAGTACAGAAGTCGAATTTAAGAGACCTCTATGTCGAACTAAATAGCTTCGTGGTGTGGACGGGTGCAGAGTTAATTCGATGTAACGGCGCTAAATTCGACATAAACTCCTAGTGTAGACCAGGCCTTAGAGATTAATCAGTCTACTACAGCCTTAGCTAAGGGCCATATGGCTTTTAGCTCATGCTGTAGAGGCTCGTGCATTTAGCTCCAGAGTCCCAGGTTTGATCCTGCCCCCCGATGACCGGGATCTGTCGGTGTTTCACTAGTCTGATGTTAGGACTTCAGGATTTGACCCATAACATAATGTGAATAAGGTTGCATAATGGTGCTCTTTTTTGTATTATTTAGGACCACAGTTTCACTACCACTTCCAGATGAGCTAGACAGTACACAAGAGACTATTAGTGAAATGCCCACTCCATTGAAGTCAGTGGAAGAAACTTTGTTTGACTTCAATAGGACCAGGATAACACCATATATCGTTAAGCTTCCGGAAAAAAGTGATGTCACTTTACTGCAGAGGTGGGCAAACTACGGCCCAGGGACTGCATCCGGCCCTTCAGACATTTTTATCCTGTCCTCAAGCTCCAGCCAGGGAGCGGGGTCCAGGGCTTGCCCCGCTCTGTGCATGCCGGGACTCCGGGCGGCTCCCGGAAGCAGCAACACGTCCCCCCTCCACCCATAGGCGCCAACTTTCTCTGGTGCCGGAGGGGGGCTCGCGCCCCCACCGCCCCGGCCCCACCCCGACTCCACCCTTTCCCCACCCTGACCCCGCCTCCATACCAACCCCTTCCCCAAACTCCCCGCCCCAACTCCCTGCCCCTATTGGATCCCTTCTCCAAATCCCCGCCCCAGCCCCGCCTCTTCCCCCAGCACGCCACGTTCCCCCTTTTCCCCCCTCCCTCCCTGCCCTGCAAAACAGCTGTTTTGCAGCGCAAATGCTGGGAGGGAGGAGAAGCAGGACGCGGTGGTGCACTCGTGGAGGAGGCAGAGGTGAGCTGGAGCAAGGGGGCGGGGCGGTGAGCTGGGGCAGGGAGCTGCTGGTGGGTGCTCAGCACCCACCAATTTTTCTCCATGGGTGCTCCAGCTCCAGAGCACCCACGGAATCGGCGCTTATGCCTCCACCTCCTATGCATATGGGAAACCAGGGGGCTCCGCACACTTCCCCCGCAGCTCTCATTGGCCAGCAACCACGGCCAATGGGAGCTGCAGGGGCAGCGCCTGCAGACAGGACAGAGCTGCCTGGCCACGCCTCCACATAGGAGCCGGAGGGAGGACGTGCCTCTACTTCCAGGAGCTGCTTGAGGTAAGCGCTGTCCGGAGCCTGCACCCCTGACCCCCTCCTGCGCCCCAACCCCTTTCCCCATCTCTGATCCCCCACCTGCCCTCCGAACCCCTTGGTGCCAGCCCAGATCACCCTTCTGCAACCCCAACCCCTCATAGAATCATAGAATATGAGGGTTGGAAGGGACCTCAGGAGGTCATCTAGTCCAACCCCCTGCTCAAAGCAGGACCACTCTCCAACTAAATCATCCCAGCCAGGGCTTTGTCAAGCCTGACCTTAAAAACCTCTAAGGAAGGAGATTCCACCACCTCCCTAGGTAACCCAATGAAAAAGTTTTTCCTAGTAGCCAACCTAAACCACCCCCACTGCAACTCCTTATCCCCAGCCCCACCCCAGAACCCACACCCCCAGCAAAAGCCATCACCCCAACCCCCAATTTCGTGAACATTCATGGCCCGCCATACAATTTCCATACCTGGATGTGGCCCTCGGGCCAAAAAGTTTGCCCACCCCGCTCTACTGGTTAATTTTTTTTTTTGGTTTTTTGATATACCAGGATTTCATTGGCTGGGTGAATATGAATATTAAAAAAAAAACAATAAATCTGCAGAGTAACAGCACCTTTTTCTGAAAACCAAAATTGTGATTCTAAAAACTAACTAGATAGTAATCTGCAAGTATTGTTTAGATTGAGTGGTACCATGACTAAGGCTAAGATTATGTCACGGAGGTCATGCATGTCATGGAATCCATGACTTTCAGAAACTTCTGTAACATTTTCTGCTTCAGCCCCAGGGCAATATAATGTAGTAATGGCAGAACAAATTGTGAAATACATATATGTTAACATGCATTATTTCTAAGGTTGTCAAACAATTAAAAAATTAATCACGATTAATGATGAAATTAAAAACATCACGATTAATCCCAGTTTTAATAGCAGTCCTCTAGATTGGTGGTTGAAGCATGAAGGGGCATATGAATGTTTAGCATTTCTGGCACGTAAATAACTTGCAATGCCGGCTACAACAGTGCCATGCGAATGCCTTTTCTCATTTTCAGGTGGCATTGTAAATAAGAAGCTGGCAGCATTATCTCCCGTAAATATAAACAAACTTGTTTGTCTTAGCAATTGGCCGAACAAGAAGTAGGACTGAGTGGACTTGTAGGCGCTAAAGTTTTACATTGTTTTGTTTTTGAGTGCAGTTATGTAACAAAAAAAATCTACATTTGTAAGTTGCACTTTCATGATAAAGAGATTGCACTTCAGTACTTGTATGAGGTGAATTTAAAAATACTATTTCTTTTGTTTATCTTTTTACAGTGCAAATATTTGTAATAAAAAAAATAAAGTGAGCACTGTACACGTATTCTGTGTTGTAATTGAAATCAATATATTTAAAAAAGAAAAAAAAAGAAAAAATATTTATAATAAATTTAAATTGTTGTTCTATTATTGCTTAACAGGGCAATTGAAACTGCAAATAATCACGATTAATTTTTTTAATTGAGTTAATCTGTTTTGCGTTATTTGTGTGAATTAACTGTGATTAATTGACAGCCCTAATTATTTAATTTTAGAAAAAAAAATTTAATGAAGCTAGTACATTTCTAAATAAAGCCTTAACGTCAGAAATAAAGGAGAAATGTTAATATATATAAAATCAGAGTTTTAGCTGAAAATATTCGTATGCATTTACTGTATTTTTAAATAGTCATTAAATAATTATACAAACTCTTAATGATAGAAGCATAAAGGAGAAGTGTTAATACATATATAGAATGCTCTACTTTTAGTAGAATATATGCTTTTTATGCAGTCAATGCATTTCTAAATAGTCATTAAATAATTTAATCATTCATCAATAATTCTTTGTGAAATTGTTTAATCAACTTTATTTAGAATTCTACTAACTGCATATTTTTTTTCTAAAAATAATTCTCTATATATTCTTCTATAGAAATGTACTATTAAAAATATTTTCCTCTAAAAATGAGGAATATTCATGTTCACCTATGTCTTAACACTTCTTTATTCAGCCATTCCTAAGATTTCTGTGAACTATTAATGTACTAACTGTCATTTTCTCTAATGATGCATGTTATCCTCTCTATTTTTCTGTTAAAACTTTGTATACTTGTTTACTAGACTTTATTTAGGATTGCACTAAATATGTAAAATGTTTTCTTGTTAAAATGAGGAAAGGGCAAGAAACATATTTCTTTAATTCTAATGCATCTAATAAGAATCAATTAAATAAAAAGGCAAAACTTTTTTTCAAAATGGCCACCAGTGCTAGAAATGCACATTTCTAAAAATGAGATCTAAGGATGAGAGATAAGGCAAAAGAAGCAGGTCATAAAGCAAAAAGGGCTCAGGGAAACCTGTCAAATTATATGATCAGTACAAGTAAAGTTTTTTTTTTTACTACTCATGTTAATTTGTAGCCTTAGCATTTTCAAAATTTTACCTTGTTTATCCTAATCCCTTTCCTGAGAAGAGAAGCAGAGAGAGGAAATGGCTGCTGGCATTTGAAAGTAAATGTCCAATTATGAGTTTGGCTTCTCTATTAATTATTTTTAAAATCCATCTCACTGAGGCACCTTCCCAAAGGGCAAAGCTTAGCTACATTTATGAGTTCATCAGTTATAGGGACATCAAGAGGCTTTCCTATCCTCAGATTCATTCTTTCCTTTCTCCCCTCATTTTTATACTATTCACGCCAATTTATCTCCCTAGTGTTATTCTGAGTTTCATATTCCACTCCTTGGACCTGTATTATCCCAACTTCTATTTAGCCTGCATCCTCTTATCATTATTTTAGCCTCAGTCTCGCTCCTATATCAATATTCAGATACTATGGTAATGTCATAATACTCTGAGACAAGTGCTGGGTGCATCCAACACCCTACATGGTAATATGGTCATGGAGAGAGTAGGTACTGTATATGGATGAACTCCTCAGTGATAAAAAGCAGGTTGATTGGTCCACATGAGCCTGAGGAGGGGAGGAGTTGGGCCAAAGCCTCTCACTTTCCATTTCCCTGATAGTCAGTGTTTAAGCCAGAATGGTGGGATTAGTAGGGCAGAGATGATTGACCCAAAAGATCTCAAACTAACCTAATTCTCTGTTTGAAAAGCAACCTGGAATCAGGTCTTGACAAAGCTAGAGTAGCTAGTTACCTATTTTGCCATCAGTTCCATAGTGTTAGTTGTTAATAAACAAATATCATGCTGCTTCAACTGTAAAGATAAAAGTTTTAGTTTTTTGTGTTCAGTTCCAATATCAGGCTGATTCTTTTTCGCTGTTCCCTTGGGATTTTTCCATCTCTGTCCGAGTATATTGATGGCGCTGTTGTGTAATATTTGTGATCTTATAGCATTTACTGTAAATAATCGCTGATGCAAATATTCTCTATTTCTATATTTACTTTTAGAGGCTGCTGGAAAGTGTGGGCCCCCGCCTGGTATTGATAATGGAGACACCATTGCCTTTGCACAGCCAGTATATGAATCAGGTTCAAGTGTGGAATATAGATGCAAAAGTTTACACGTAATGAGGGGATCTCCATTTGTTCACTGCGAATCTGGCCAATGGACAAACCCACCAGTTTGCTTAGGTAGGTACAAAAATCTATTATATGAAAAAGAACTGTGATGAGTATATATTTTTCATATTATGAGCCCAGTTCTGATGTCACTTGTTGTGGTGTAACACCACATTAATTCCATCAGTCTGAATGGAGTTACTCCTGATTTAGACAGGAATATGTTAGGGGAAGACTCTCCTTCTTTTTAGGGATATCACTGCAGATTTTTTTTTAAAAGATCAGGAAATGGCAAACAGCCATGCTATTAGAAGTATTTAGAATGTACCCCCAAAATAATATCTCAGTTAAAACCTGTAAAAACCCACTACAATGAAACCAATGTTTACTGTAAGTGAAAAGATGTATTCAAATATATTTTTATTTTTAAAAAGCTTTCAATTAGAGTAGATGCTATGAACTACAATTCAGTAACTTATAGAATTAGTGCTAGGAGTAGACATGATGCTGACATGAGCAGCAGCGGATTCCTCTTTTGCCTAGTGGGAGCTCTAATGTCATAAAACTAATGTAGTCTGCTCTACACCCGTGTCTTTCTAACCTCCATATGCTCAGAGTGAGAGAAGGGAATGGCTGGAGTACATTGTGGTGCAGTGTTCCAAAGTTAGGCAGCTACCTCTGTGTGGTTCTTAAATTATGGTGAACTTATCTTGTGGGCTGGTTTGTCCGGGCCCTGACTTCACATCTCGAGAATAACTTGACATGTCCCCTTTCTCTCCTGCCATGTAACCTATACGAAAGGGGTGGTGGACCACAACAGGGAGCCCGATTTGCTAGCTTTACACCAGCAAAGAGCATCCTTCCACATGGAGAGTATTCTGTTGGCCAGGTATGGTTAGGTTCTGGCCCATTTGCATCAGCTGAGTGGCAAAAAGGGGCCACATTGTAAAATGGAATTAAATCCTGTCTTACTCTCTGTTCATCTAGTCCCAGTCTCCTCTCTGTCCCTTCCCACAATATCACACCATTTGGTGTGAAAGCCTTCTTCTCTAGAGTTCCTTTTTGTTCTCTCAACCGTACCATCTCTCCTTTACTTTTCAAATCTTGTCGGAAAATATTTCCCTGTTTTATTTAACTATGTAAAGCATTTGGGGACAGGGTCAGTGTCAATATAGTTAGTGAATCAAATTTCCAATAATAGATCCACATGTACATAATGACACTACATTTTTCTTTTTCCAGAGCCATGTACAGCATCCCCAGAAGAGATGGAAAAAAACAATATTGACCTGAAATGGAGGGAGACCACTAAATTGTATTCAGAAAGTGGAGATTTTATTGAATTTGACTGTAAATGGGGATATGAGAGGGATCCACTGTCTTCTGGATTTAGAGTACAGTGTGTGGAGGGGAAATTAGCATATCCTAAATGTAAGAAAAGAGGTAAGTAATCTCCAATTACACTACAGTACTAGTGAATCATCTGACTAAAAGATTTCTTAATTTTTACTGAGGAATTCTAGGGTTTAAAAAATATAAAAATGCATGGCAGAGTGGCACTATTGTGATGGGTTCCATATAAACTCATGGGAAAGCATGATTCCTGACCCAGACCTCTTGCAATCTAAATAGATAAGACAAATGGCGGTAAAGAGATGCAGCTCGCAAGCAAAGTGACCACACTACTACTTGAGTTGTGACAATCACCCTCTGACATCTGGGCTTCTGTGGGTTACCGACAGGATAGAAAAATTTTTGCAAGTGTCTTGTCTTACCCAACTTCTCTGGCTGGCTGAGTTCCTCATGCAGGCAGCTGACTTCCATTGTGGTCTGCAGTCCTTTGATATCCTTCTGATGCTGATGTTTAGCTCCTAAATCCTTGCTTCAGCAAGCACTGTTAACAGGTTACATGTTAGGCAAAGCTCCCCTAGTCTCCTCTACTTCCTGGGAAACCTTTTGATCCATGGCAGTCAGTTTGCTTGTCACCTCATTTATCTGCCTTGCCGGTCCAGAGTGGGAGTTTTACCCAACTTCTCAGTCTGCCCAGATACTTTGTAGCTGCTGCCCAAGGAAAGATTTAGGCCATGTCTATACTTACAACTGACAGCGGCACAGTTGTACCAATACAGCTGTTCCACTGTCAGAGTGCTCGCCTAGCCTCCTTATGCCGATGGGAGAGAGCTCTCCTGTCGACATAGTCAAATCAGTTCAGTGAGATCTCTCATTGACATCACACTGTGCATATGTGCGCTTATGACGGCAAAAGTTACGTTGCACGGGGGGTATTTTTTCACACCCCTGAGAGACAAAATTTTACCAACATAACTACTAGTGTAGCCATGGCCTTAGACTGCATGTCATCTCTCAGTCCTTTCTGGTAAACCTCCCACTGTTGCTTCAATACCTTTTGCAAAGTCTCCAGCTCCTGTTTTAGGCGGCGTTTTAATCCTTTTGACCATCTTTGACTTTGAACTTTTTAGCCTAAGCCTTTAGCCAATATTCAGGGTCTTCCACCTTTTTTTTCTGTTGGGAGGGGGAAAAATGGTGTAGTGTCAAGTATTTCCATGACACAGCCCTTGTTATTTACAAAGTATGGACACAAAATCCTGTTTCTCTGAACAGTTGGCTCAGACAACAGGAGGCAGTTTCCTTGCTCACAATTCCAAGCCTACCTTTACATTCACCAATCTGACCAAAAAGATCTTTTCTGTCATAGCCATGCTACCAATACGTCTACTGCTGTCTCGCCATAGCTTTCTGGCATGCTCACACATACACACGCATGCACACACTCCCTCCATCCCTCCCTCATTTAATCCCCAGCCCTCCTATTGTCGATCCCTAGAGAAACTACTCAACCAGAATTGCTCTAGCCTTTTCCCAGGCCTTGCATATGGTCTAGTCCATTGTGTCAGCTATCACTAGACAAAGGGGCATGTAACTGCTTCCTCATTTAGCCTGAATGAAAGATGAGTATCATGCCCATTAGTTTCACTGAGGTGTGTGACTGCCCATCGATCAGACCTGCTTACTGCGAGCTACTCTATCTCCAGTACAACAATACTATCAAATTTATTGAAGGAAAAATCTATTTTGTCTTACATCATTCTAGTTCTCCTGTCTTCTGATAAAGAAGAATCATAATTGCTGATCTTCTTCCCATATTAGGATGACTATATTATTGTGGCAATTCCCACATCACCTTTTGTAAACTAGTGTGAGAAATGGCACCTGCTTTATAGCATTATGGGAACAGAAGCAAAAAAATTGTGCATACATATGAAGAAGGCTGGCTGGAAGCAGCTGATAAGAAGTCATGGAATGAAACAGGTTCAAGATCCCTGTTCCAAAAATTCCATCACTTTCAAATGCTAATAACTACACCATGGATACTGATAAAATACAGTAATATGTAGTAAATCAATGTATGGTTTTCTGTGCTACTTTTAAGTTCCACTTCAAAATAAGTAATTGTTTGTAATATGAAAAACAGTTGAACCGCTGCAGTTCAGGGGTAACTGCAATTATGGTTGATGGAGTTTGTTCCCATTTACTTTCCAAAAAAGGTTAAAACCATCTAGTATGAGTTTTATGCCATTCTGTTGAAATCAATATTCTGTTCCTGTGCAGTCCATAGGGGATTTGTATGTAATATTTGTTTTTAAAAAATTGACATGTACTAAACTAATTTTCAGTATTTGTTCTCTCTCTGACAGGCACTTCAGGATGAATAAAAAGAAGCATCAAGCAGATAATTTTAAGTCAGATCTAAGGATCAAATCCATTGACCAGTTATTTGTAATGTTCACATATTATGTCCTTTGTCAGTATTTTAGATTAAATTGATATGTATCAGTTCAGTCCCTTTTTTTATCATTGGTCACAACGGTTTAAAATATACAATCATAAAATAGTAACAACAGATGGGCAAATAATTTCAAACTCAGATCAAACTACAGATTGTTATGATATTTGGAAAAGGAAACTTTAAGGGAAATTGTACACATCTGCACATCCTGAATTACACACTTCTTGCTTCCTGAAACAGAAAGCAGCAGTATTTCCCTCTGGCCCAAATCAGGAACTCCAGGAAGTCTCATTAGAAACATTAATCTTGACAGATTGTTAGCCCAATCACCACAACAGAAAGTTTCGGATATGCATGGAGGCTTTTTTGAGTTCTGCCCATCGCTGTTAGCTGTTGGTGATCATTCTTCCAAATGTTTTAGTCCATGCAACCAAAAATTTATCCTGTCATCTACCACAGTTGTACAGAAAACACTGACTTCTCTGGTTGAAGTTTAAACTCATAATGTCTTAATTATTTTTCCTTTTTAAAATTAAATATTTGTATGATTCATTTACCACTCTTCTTAAAAAGTCTGTTATTTGGACTTTTTCGGGTTTTTTTATTAAGACCATCATCTAAAGTAAAGAGGGAAAGAATCTTAGGATTTGTAGAAAAATGGAGACAAAGATGAAAGCCTGCAACTAATTTGAATAGCAACATGATACATGCATTTGGCAGTGTGTGAATAAATTGTCTATTCCTATTTTCCACTGTATGCAATAAACTGGAAATTAGAATAGTGCTGTAACAGAGATGAATCATTATCAGAATCCACACAGACAAATAACTGAAGATAAAGTGAATAATGAGGGGATGCTATATGTAGGGAATGGATCAAATTCTGGACCTGTGTCATACACAAATAAGCACACTTACACAGTTTTTTCAGCTTTTATAGTGTATGTATTTTCCCCGAAATTATGTAAATGTTGAAGTTTTTCACATTATTGCAAGTCTGCCTGTAGTACTTATCAGGGGGTAGCCATGTTGGGTCTGTATCCACAAAAACAACAAGGAGTCCGGTGGCACCTTAAAGACTAACAGATTTATTTGGGCATAAGCTTTCCTGAGTAAAAAACTTCACTTCTTCAGATGCATGGAGTGAAAATTACAGATGCAGGCCAAAAGCTTAAGCCCAAATAAATCTGTTAGTCTTTAAGGTGCCACCGGACTCCTTGTTGTTTTTGTAGCACTTATGTTACTTATTCTCCTAGTGGAATCCACAGTCTGAATTTAGTCACCCAGGCTCCCTATTCAATGCAGGGGGAGAGTCAGTGACCCTAGGGTACATCTATATTTGAGTTTGGAGGTGAGATTCCCTGCTTCCATAGACATACCTGCCCTAGCTGTGCTCAAGCTAGTACCGCATAGGCACCAGCTCAGCCTAGCTTCCATGAGTACAACCCCACCAGACCCTCAGCTACCTACTTGGGTGGCGAGCCCAAGCTATTGCTGGTGCTGCAGCACCACTGGTTACTTTTAGGTGCTAGGTTGGGCTGAGTTAGTGTGGGTACATACATGGGAGCTGGGCACCACATGTATCCTTAGACTGGGATTCACAAAAGCCAGTAGGTTGAGCAAGAGGGCACTTAAGCCAAACTCCTTGGGGAATGCCAAGGAGAAGGTTGTGGCCTAAGCCTTACCCCTCAGTGGCAGTTGAGCACTTTTCTCCACACAGGATACACAGCTGTGAACTCTTTCCTGGAGTTAAGCACCTAAGTCAGGTCACCCTTTCTCATAAAATAAACACCACTACGTGGTAGTGGTGCCATTATACCCTAGAGCGTACAGGCGTGCAAGCACACACACACACACACGTAGGTAGAGACCTAAGTCCAAAGCCTGATGCAGAGCCTGATCCAAGTGATTCACTAACTACTAGACAATAGGTTATTCTGGCATATGTCTTTATCAAGTCTCCAATTGTAGCTGTTCCACTTTGTCTGCCTAACTAATTAAAAAATTAATTAGAGCATGGACTTGAACTTGGGACTCCCACATCTGAGAGAGTCTCAGGAACCTGGGTGACTGGGCAACAAAATGGCAGATGGAATTCAATGTTGATAAATGCAAAGTAATGCACATTGGAAAACATAATCCCACCTACACATAAAATGATGGGGACTAAATTAGCTGTTACCACTCAAGAAAGATCTTGGAATCATTGTGGATAATTCTCAGTATGCAGCGGTAGTCAATAAAGCTAATGGAATGTGTGGAATCATTAGGAAAGGGATAGAGAAGACAGAAAACATATTGCCTCTATATAAATCTATGGTATACCCACATCTTGAATACTGATGCAGATCTGGTCAGCCCATCTCAAAAAATATATATATTGGAATTGGAAAAGGTACAGAAAGGGGCAACAAAAATGATTAGGGATATGGAACAGCTTCCATTTTAGGAGAAATTAATAAAACTGGGTCTTTTCAGCTTGGAAAAGAAATGACTAAGGGGGATATGATAGAGATCTATAAAATTATGACTGGTATGGAGTAAGTAAATAATGAAGTGTACTTTAGTCCTCCTCATAACACAAGAACTAGGAATCACCAAATGAAATTAATAGGCAGCAGGTTTAAAACAAACAAAAGGAAGTATTTCTTCACACAACACATAACCTGTGAAACTGTTTGTCAGAGAATGTTGTGAAGACTAAGATTATAACAGGGTTCAGAAAGGAACTAGATAAATTCATGAAGGATAGGGCCATCAATGGCTATTAGCCAGGATGGGCACAGATGCAAAAGCATGCTCTGAAGTATCCCTAGTCTCTGTTTTCCAGAAGCTGGAAAAGGGTACAAGGGATGGATTACTAAATGATTACCTGTTCTGCTCATTACCTCTGAAGAACCTGGTATTGGCCACTGTTGGAAGACAGGATACTGGATTAGATGGACCATTGGTCTGACCCAGTATGGCTGTTCTTATGCTCCCCTAACCACTGGGCCATAGAATCATTTTCAATTATGTTTAATTATTTAATATAAAAGTGGAATGGGATCAACAGGCAAGGTTGAGAGAGAGAGAGAGAGAGAGAGAGAGAGAGAGAGAAAACGATCTTAGGGGTTAGGGGCATGCTTATGAGAGGTAAAAGATTTGGGTTCAACTCCCTGTGCCATATCAGATGGGGGTATATGTGAAAACTGAACCCAGGTCTTCTACATCGCGTGAGTACTCGACCAACAGGGGAAAAAGTTACAAGGGAGGGCAGCAGCCTCTCCTCTTCAGTTTTGTGTGAGAAACAGTTTCAGCACCTAATTCCAGGAAAAGATTCACAGCTGTGAATTCACAAGTGGCGAGACATACCTAATTGCCTTTGAGGGGTAGGCTTAGGCCACACCCCACTCCTTGGCATTACTATTGGTTAGCTTCAGTGGCTCCTTGTTCATCGTGCTGCCTTTTGCAAAGCCTATTCTTAGGCACCTAATTCTCCCCATGCCTTGTATAGGAAGCCTGGATGTCTAACTCAGGCCTGTGGGTTATGCTTGGTGTTGAAACTCTAAATCCCAATTATGGCTCTAAATCTGAAGTGCTGTAGTCAGACTGGAGTCCTCAGGCAGCTGAAAGAACAAGGTCATCTTGTGCTCTACAGTAAATGAAAGGGATCTAGTTTCACCACACACCTTATCGGGTGTGGAGTTTGCTTTTACTACAATGCTTTATGCTCTAAGGAAATACATAAGCCCATAATTCCAGGGAAAGCAGAGAGACACTATCACACTAGGAGAAGTTTATGTGAAAGCAGATATACACACAATACAAGGGAAATAAAAGAGCCAGGAGAGCATATACAAAGGCAACCACAACAAAGGTTGAAGACATCAGTTCATATATCTCCGCAATGTTCTTATTCTAAAACTGTATAGATAGCAGCTAAAGTACATATTTGGCTTTAGAACCACAGTTTTAGTAACTATCATTTAGTTACTAAAAATCCTCTTTTTTACATCTCATGATATTTTCAGCGTTCAGCTGGGGCAGAGCTAAGAGTTTCAGTCTGGGACAGTGTCACACTGATCTTGCTGCTGCTACTGAATGGCTCACATTAAGAAAGATTATTATTATTTGAAATCTATATGGCTAGTTTGATGTCAGTGGCACTACTCATGCTTAAAATGAAGCACACACTTAAATGCTTTAGTGGACCGGGGCCTCATATACTAGTATTTTCTGGAAAGTTTGGCAATTTGTATTCCATTTGCCAAAATAAGCATCAGTTTCATCAGGGGAATGGAGGGCTATCTCCATTCTCTAGAGAAGAGGGGACCATTATTCTCTAAAAGGAAAGGACTAAAAATGGATATAAATTACAGTATTATATGTTACTTTATGAATTAGTCTACGACAGAAATTATTACCAAGCATTCAACTTATCCAGAGAAGCAGAAGATAAAGTCTAGAATAATAATCTAAGGCAAAAAAAATCTCAAAATGCTAATTAGAAGAACAATACTGAGGTATATTTGGACATTTAATATCTACATTACATTAATTTGATAGCCAAGTTGGGTGATCAAATGTTCCATCTTTCTACTCATATCCCAGTGTACTCAGCCACCTCCCTGTACAGTTGATATCCACTGGCTTACCAAGCACATGCACAATGTAATTCACTTTATTCCACAGGTGGTGATAGCAGTTTTTAAATGAAGGGTCTGGATCTCAGCAAGATGAGGTGGGTGAGGTAATATCTTTTATTAGACCAACTTCTGTTGGAGGTGGGGAGAGAAATAGAGAAGGGGTAGGGGAAGCTTTTGAGCCACAATGAGCTCTTCCTCAGGTCTGGGTAAGGTACTCAGTGTCACAGCTAAGTACAAGGTTGAACAGATTCTGGACCTGTCAGTGACAGGCGCAATGGCTTCAGTTTGACATTGTCTATTCCCTGGCAATAGTGTCAGATATCATTAAGCAGTGGAATTGGTTTGAGAAGAAGAGCTTCAAGCGGGCAGGTAGAAAATGGTGGGATACTCTGTGAGTTCAATTACAGTCTGCAATATAAGACCTATACAAGGTTCTCATGGAAAAAGAATCAACCAGTTAGGGATTATGCAAAATGCATCGTGCAAAGCAGGGAAAGGGGAAAGAATAAGGGGAAGGTTGGATAACAAATAAACAGTAATGAAGAAGCTGCTAACAACTTCCCATACATTTGGTGAGTTTTTCCTGTCCCTGAAGTCACAGATATGAATGTAGTGGTCGGTCCTGTCAGGGCATGTGCACAGTCATTACAGTTCGAGGCACTGTCCATGACCCTCTGGTGGCAAAACACATGGATGGCTATAAACAGGTACACAGAAGTTTTTGCATTAATTGTCTTTAACAAAACAGAAAGATAAATCTCCATAAAACATGAGAGCTCTTTGCAGACACATATTTGCTTCACACACGCACACGGATCCTGTGACTACAGGTTTCAGGGTCTTCACCTAGTACTGGTGAAACAAAACATAGGGCTTGTCTTATCTTTCTCAAACCTGTTGTATTAATTTAGATGGAATACCGTATATA